AGATCATGCATTGTTTTATTATTTTTTTGAGTTATGAATTCCTTTATATGTCCATGGCTTATGCCTTCCGAATGTGATGTCCTCTGTTGAATAACCCTCAGCATTTGAACCACTGAAGAAACTGACTATTTGACTGGCCGAATTCAGAACGATAGAACTGAAGTTGTTGAATTAAAGTTTTTTAGTAACACCTTCAGGAGCTTGAAGTAGTAAGCTTAGAAACAATGAAATTTAATTTTGTGAACTTCAAAGAGCTGAATAAGTAATTGATGCAAAAAAAAATATGGGTTAGTTATCGTTTAATTCTCAACTCTCCATGTATATGTTCTTTCTTGTACATATATAAAAAAAAAATTAAAATTAACATTAATATTTTATTTTTTATTCTATTTTTAATCTTGCTAGATGCTTTGGGAATTGTTATTGAGGTATCTCCTTCATTGAACATATGTAAGAAGAATAACAAAGGTATAACCAAAAAGCGGAAAGTCATTATAATGGATATGAGGTACGTCATTACTATATTACATATACAATCATAGTTATGCAAATATAATATAATAACTAAAGTAATTAATCTTTATTACAGTTCAAGGACAACTACTTTGACGTTATGGGATGATCTTGCTGAGAATGATGGAAACTTTATCATGGAGCTAATACAAGAAAGATCTATCATCACAGTTACACATGTGGCAATCAACATCTACAAAGGTAAATTATCATACAAATTATTATTATTTATATTATATATTATTAAGTAAATCTATAATAACAAATTTTTACAAACAACAATGTATATTACTGTCTTCAAACACAAAAAGAATCTACATTGCAAATTAATATAGATATTGAAAGTGTCAAAGCATTAATATATTGATTCGTTATTTATTATAACTTCTTTTACATTATATATACACTATTTGTAGAAAGAGAACATGTTTTTTGTTTTATTTATTTAATTAATTATTTTACAAGATAATTTATATGTGGACAGGTCCAAAGAGAACATAAATAACAAAGATATAACAAGTTTGATTTCCAGTACAAAAGATCAAAAATTTAATGATGCTGAAAAGTCAAACTTCAAGACATAATAGGAAAATCTACAATGTCCTTTGAGGTATTAAATTTCAGTATATTTCTTAATCTTCTTTAATTGTGTATCACATTTTTATATTCAATTTATATATTGAAAAGTTATATTTTGTTGTACAACCTGTAGAAAACAAATTACTCTTTCGAAGCAACAATTGAAAATGTCGTCAATGATTGCGAATCGTGGTACAATGCATATGAGAAATGCAACAAGAAAATTAAAGTTGAAAAAGATAGAGTATACTGTCCTCGATGCAACACAACAGACCCAAAATGCTTTCAAAAGTATTATTATATCTTAAAATTAATCTTGTTATTGTATTTATTTCAATGGTTTAATAATATTTCAAATACATAATTCTTTGTTTTTACTCATGTGCAAATTCATGATGATAATTAAAGTGCGAAGTATGGAACATATTGGAACACTTGCAACCCTAACGGTGTTCACTAGATGATTGTCAAATATTAATAAATTGTTCACTAGATGATTTACTATAATTATAAATTGAGGTAATTTTCCATCCTTATTGATAAAATTTTAATTAAATCAAAAAATATTTACTTGAATTTCTCAATAGCTCTAAATTCTCAATAGCTCTAAATTATATTTTTTCTTTTTGCAAGACATGGATGAATTCGGCAACAAAGTGACAAGTTGCAAAGGAAATTTTTTTCTTTTTCTGGGGAAGATAGACAATACTCAATAACAAGTCGTAAAAACTTATTTTGTAGTGGAAGAATTAAAAGAATTGATAATTGACAATGATTCATTTCATGAAGAAATGAAATATGCAAAAAAGATAAAGATTGAGAAATAAATAATTTAAGAATACTTTTATTTTTAAACAGTTATAATTTTGGATTTTCTAATATATTTTGTTTCTTTTGAGGTGACAATTATTGCAATCTAAAAATTGTTGGTACCTTTTCAAATTTTATAATATATAGAATTTTTATATAGTATTTATTTATAAATATTTTGTAAATTATAGAATTTTATTTTCATATATTTTTTAAATATTTATAATTTTCATTCATATATCAATGGAAAATCTTATTTTGTTTCTTTTGAGGTGACAATTATTACTCTCTAAGACATTCTAAGCCTAAAACTATTTTGCCTATTTTTTTTTTTATAAAATTATAAACAATTAAAAAATATATGAAATTATAAATTAAAAAACATTTATCACATACATTACACATGTCTTTTACTAGTATATATATATATATATATTATTGAAGGGATAAAAATTCTCCCTTTCAAGTCTGTGTCGTATTGGGATGGATAAAAAGATAATTATTAATGTAAAATGGGTTGCCGGCGATTATGAAATTCAAATTTTTTTTTTTCTTTTACTACCCCTGCTTTTATACCGGCCAACTAAAGTCCACAAATCACCCCAGCGTATAGTTATTACTCATTTATTACTACACTAGGTTTTTTGTCGTACTATTTATCACAGTATTACCGAATCCCTCAATCATTATTTGTTTGCATTATTATTTTGACTTCCTTGACACTCTTGTCAACATCAATTCCCTCAACTTCCAACATCAGTTTCCTCAACTTCATAAAAACGCCAATCAATTGCTCATCCGAATAATGCTACTTAAGCAAACCCGATCAGGTTAAGTGTAACTTTGATGTTTCATTTTGTTGGAATTCGTCCATGGGAGGAGGTGGGGTAGTCTTCTGTGATTGTCGCGGCATTGCTCTTCACGCTATTATTTATTTTTCGACAGTTTTTTTTGTTTTCGACACCGATTGCTGAGTCTCGTGCTTGTCAATGTGCAGTGTTTTGGGCATTGGCTTTGGATTATAATTGTGTTTGGTTTGAATATGATGCTAAGACTGTTGTTGAGGGGGTGCTAAATGACGCTTTTGTTTTGATATTTGACGAGATTTGCAAGATTTTCAGTTAGTGCCTTTGTCTCATGTCTGTCGATCAGGTAATAAGGTTGCTCATACTTTGGCTAACCTCTCCTTACATTCGTTCCAGGCGGATCATTTTTTATCGCGGATTCCATATTCAATTCTAAGCATTGCTTTGGCGGATGAATGCTGTGGGTTAGTTTAGGTGGTTGGGTTGCTGTTGTTTTTGAGTCTTTTGGCTCCGCTGTCAGGACAAAAAAAAAAAAAAAAATTAGAATAATACTACTTGAACAAATCAACAACATCATAGATAGGGGAAATAGTCATTCCGTAGACCCAAGAATCAACGGATAGAAATAGGTGTCAAGAATCAAGAAATCCTAAGGGGTTGGATTCATTGTGAGATGTTAAAGAGAGAGACAGTGGAGAGAGAGCTTGGATTGAAAGGGACAGATCGACAAAGACATGCGAAAATTAAGAGTGATTTATTATTATTATTTTTTTATTTTAGGTCAGAACAAAGAATCACTGGTAAATAAAAAAAAACACTAAATATAAAACTTTTCAAAACAAAACTAAGATTAACAAAAATCTAAAGCTGGAAAAGGTGTTAGTGAAAATGGAAGTGTTAGAACTCAAGAAATCCAATTATTTTTCTTTATCTGGATTAAACACGCTTACATAACAGTCTTATATTTAAAAGTCTCATTAAATCTCTGAAAATTTTGAAAATTTTATGATTGACATGTGACGAAACACCACCACTCTTTCTCTACTCACATTCTCCACTCCTGCACCTTTCCATTTCTCATCTCCTCGATGCACAGAAACAACTCCTACGAAAATTGGGATGAACAAGATAAAAATGTCAACCTTGTTTACCTCGTGGTAGTCTCGAATCGAATTGATACAATAACTAAACCACTGATTAATTCTTATTTATATCAACAAAATAACAGATAAATATCAAAACATAGGTGATGACACTTTCTAATCATTACGTTACTCCTGCCAATTATGCTTGATGGGCACAAGGTAAAGAGGTAACTTCTTAAAGACGTACAGGTAAAGTTACTTCCTCTTCCAAGCTGCTGTAATATCTTCAATCTTCATCCCAATTGGCAGCAGTAGAGAAGATTTACAAGCACAACAAACTCTACTGCTTACTTAGACCATTGTGGTACAGTACATATTAAAATATTTTGTTATGCCATATAAAAAATCTCATCTTCAAATGGTTGTGTTTTTTTGTACACAAAGGTAGGTCATTGCTTTCTTAGACATCATTGAAAACACCACAAAAGATATAACCACACTAAGGTGAAAAATTACTTTTTGTAAGTTTGATTTGAATTACAAATGTCGTGTTATTCAAGTGAATGAGTTGCTTCCCATGATAAGAATCCGTGTTCGAACCTTGCACTTTACCTCTCCCCTCTAACAATTCACCACTAACTCCTAACATTCTTGCTTTGAAAAAAAAAAAAAAAAAAAAAAAAATGTTTGACTTGAATTGTTCCTATGAATATCATGATTAAGCCTTCTATGATTTAGTAAAAAATTTGAACCGTCAATCTCAATAAACTTAAATTTTCTTGCTGCACTTGAAGTGAGTGTAGACTTGGAAAGAAAAGATGTGTAATAAAAAACAAAATTTCTATTCCTAATACTTACTCAAAATGAGGTGACAGTTACATCTTTAAATTAAAATATAAGTCATTGATTTTGGAATTGTCTCCATCTCTCACTTAATGCTATGAGATAGATGTAAGTATCATCCGAACCACTCCTTCCAGTAGCTTGACTCTGTTCTAGTCCATTACTTTGTTTTTTCTGTTTCTTTGTTTTGGCCCATTTTTTTTACCCTTTTGGGGGCATGTGGTTTCAAATTTCACTCTTATAACTAAAAAATTTGGGACAGAGGGCGTAAATTTTATTTACCCGGAAAATAAAAATAAAAAAAAGCTCAAACACACACACACACGCACAAACCCGGAAGAGATGGTAGAAAAAAGTTAAAAAGTATAAAAAGAAACTAGTCCATTCTTATTTATATGCATCGGTCATAATACACACTCTCCGATTAATAACTGCGATGAAACAGTGTAAACATTATCTTACTGGAAGTTATATTTGATGGGCACGAGGCAAAGAGGCAATTTTCTATAGACAGTAAAAGTGCCTTCCTCTTCCAAGCTAATATCTTCAATCTTCATCCCACTGGGCAGTTGCCAATCAAAGCGGTAGACAAGGTTTGCAAGCACAAACTCTACAGTTGTGGTTGCCATTACTAAGCCCGGGCAGATCCTTCTACCAGCTCCAAATGTCAAAAACTCGAAATGCTGACCTTTAAAATCAATGCAACTATTCTCAAACCTCTCTGGGATGAACTCTTCAGGCTCCTTCCAATTTTGGGGGTCTCTATGGATTGCCCACGCATTCACTTGGATCCTTGTTTTCGGGTAAACATCGTAGCCACCAATCTTGCACTGCACCATTGTTTCGTGCGGTAGTAGCAGCACAGCCGGAGGGTGTAGCCTCAGAGTCTCTTTCACCACCAATTTCAAGTAGTCAAGCTTTTCAATGTCGCTTTCTTCAACTATTCCCTTCTTCCCAACACAATTTCTGATTTCAGCTTGTAGTTTCTTCATCACTCGCGGGTTTCTGGATAGCTCTGTCATTGCCCACACAACGGTAATAGAACTGGTGTCTACTCCAGCAAGAAATACGTTCTGAAATATGGACAAACCAAATCAATAAGAGGTAAATTCTTTGACGAGATGTTCGGCTGCATAGAATTGGAATATGCGGAGAATATATATATATTTCTTACATACATATTACTATTTTAGCAATATTAGCTAGCTCCTTACCACAAGTACTGCCTTGATACTATCTTTAGTGAGACCTCCAGCCATGGTTTGATCCTTTAATAGTCGAATCAGGACATCAATGATATCTTCATGCTCAGGCTTTGGCCGGGCAGGATCAAGATGCTCGTCAACCATCCTTTGGTAGAATTTATCGAAGTTGTGGAAGCACTTCTCCCTCCTAGCATGAAATCCAGTGAAAACATCTACAATCCATCCAAAATATGGAAAGGAATCTGCTGCAGAGAAACTTGCCATCATGGTCATGGCTTCGTGTATGGCGTCTTCAAGCGAACCAAATTCGAATTGTTTCCCCTCATATGTCCTACCACAAACAATCCTACATACCATTGCATCCGCCAAAGAGAACATCTTTTTGGTGAGATTGACCTCATTTGGTGAAGCCTCGGAGACGAAGTTTATGAAACGAGCCATTTCTTGTTTCCTTACGAACTCGAAGGATCTCACCCTTTTGGAACTGAGAAGCTCTATGACACAAAGCTTACGCATCTCTCTCCAGTAATCACTATAGGGAGAGAAGGCAACGTCTAAGAAATTGTAAGAAATTCTCCTTAAGCTTTCCGTGGGAGGCCTAGAGCAACATTCATGATCATGAGTTTTTAAGACCTCTTTGGCCATTTCAGAGGAAGAGATGACAAGAGTTGGGACTTGACCAAGTTTTAAGAGCATGATAGGGCCATATTTTTGGGACAATTTCCACAGAGATTGATGAGGGGCTTTCCCAAGTTGGTGAAGGTTGCCTATGATGGGAAGACGTGGAGGGCTTGGAGGAAGATTAGGTATTTGCTTCTCTCTGTTTTTTGGCTTAAGAATGAACAGACACAGAATTGGAAGCAACAATAAAAATAGAGGAAGCCACTGCAAAAATAGTGGATGGAAAGCCATTAGTCCATAGACATGATTAGGGGTACTCTAGCCTCCACTATATATATACAGGTTCAAGATGCTTCTGGTTTTTTTTTTTTTAATTTTATTATTATTATTTTACGGAATAAGTGAGATTGAGTTTCGCTTCATCGTTTTTATGTGATAATAGTATCAGAAATTTGATTCTATTTTCTTAATTTAATAGACTTGAATTGACACGGAAATTAAATGTGCAGTGTTCTTGTTTAATCTCCAATTCGTTTATAATCAGATTAAATAAACTGTGTCAAATTTATTTCTTTGTTTAAAAAAAGAAATAGGAGTAAGTTGTGACATTATGTTAGGGTCGTGTGTTAAATCTTGACTCGCTTATTAAACGAATTACTCATAATTTCAAGATAATCAATTTATTGTTACATTATTGTTCATTCTTGTTGTAGTGCTTGGTCGAGAATTGTACTACTAACATATTTGCAGACACTACCAAACAATATTATTTTTCCGGCAATCCAAAGCATGAGTTTTAGACCTCTTAAGAGTCGAACACAAGTGTCTGGATTGCACCGGGAGGCTTTATAGGGAGAGCACAGGATTAAAGAACGGTTTAAATTAAATTAAATATTTTCTTATGCTATATATATGTATATATAAAGCTTACTTAAGCTTGATTTGAATTGTTCCTATGAATATCATGATTAAGCTTTCTATGATTAGTAGAAAACTTGGCACTGTTAATCAGAACAAATTTCAACAAAAAATTTCTGGCTGCACTTGAATTGAAAGTATTGTACATTGAATTGAGTAATAAAAACAAAATTTCTGTACTGATCTTATTTTTTGGAATGATATATCCTAGCCAAACTACTGATATCATCATATTCATTCCGTGTACAATTTTTTTTTTCCTCCGCAAATGTCATATTTAGAAAGTTTCACGTAGAAACCGGAAACAATAAAATCACAACTCACCACCATCTCAATTATTTCAAAGAGTTGTGATATATATATATATCATGATTTGGATCTTGAATGATATAGGTTAATTTTTTTTCTCTTTGTATAGACATTTATATATATGGTAACGAATTTAAGAAAAGTACCGATCTTTCAATGAAAAAAAAAAAAAAATTCTTCATAATATAGTTTAATTATTATTATTTTTTCATAATACAGCTTTATTATTATTTTTTTCTTTCTTGTGATCAAATTTGAATTATAGGGAATAGAACTAAAGTTTTTCGATTAACATCACAAAAACGATTAGCTTAAAAGTTTATTGCAGATAGGAGAATACGACTAATTTCATCCAAAAATTTTAAGTGCATGATTATATTCCTGTAGTAATAAATAATCATTTACTTTTCGAAATCAATTCTTTCCAAGGAAAACTAGAGTTTTAAATAACAAAATAGTATATTTTAAGAATTAAGTAAAATAATTACATATACATTGAGAACTTTTGTTCAGATATAAAATGCCCTCTAAACTCTTTTATTTTAAAATACTAAATTATCAATAAATTAAAATAAAACAATTAAAGGAAAACATGAGTCATATTTGAAAACAACATATGTTAGTTAATTGAATATTCATCAATTGTGCATATATTATTGTAACAGCTTGTGTTTATGCATAGAAAGAGAGATTATGTTTCAGAAAGTGTAATTGCAGTTTATAGTTCACCAAATGTGTGTGTATATATGTATATATAAACATGAACTTAGCTTGTTGAATAGGGATTAAGGACCAAAGATTGAAGAACCGGAGAACATCTGGGTATAATACATGTGTACAGATTTATATATATTGCAAATACACATATAATTCACCAAAATGAATTTATATATATATGTGCTAGTAAAGATATAAACATGTGTATACCTCTGTGTGTGTGTGTGTGAATTCAATTAGATTAGCTTAGGGAAGAGATTAGGGACGATGGATTAAAGAACATTGAGCATTTCGGTGTACATGTTCCTTGAATATACTCTCCATATGAATATAATTATCAATGACTTTTTATCTGCTTTACTTTCTTCAATGACTGAATAGCAAATTCACTGTAACCCTCCATAATTTCAACAACAGTTTGTTTACTTCTTGTTCTTCTTCTTATGGTTCTCTCATATTTTCTTTATTCCTGAATTTTGGAGTGGTTTTTTTTTTATTTTTTATTTTTATTTTTTAATTTCTTGAGTGAATAAATTATTTAATTTAAATGGATAATTTGATATTTGGGAATGATAGCTTGGATGTCATTTTGGACTGGAACAATGGTTCTTAATGTATATGGGGATTCGAGCACTTATTATCCGCACCATTCACACTCTCATTTTGTCGCACCATTCACACTCTCATTTTGTCTCTTTAAGAATTTGAATTCTCACTAGTCCTTGGTGTTTTTAACATTTTAAATTAGAATGTCATATATATATATATATGGCAACTGTTTTGTTAGTGGCCATTTTTATTTTAACTTTTCTTTTTCTTTCCTACTTATTTTTTTCTTAGTTATATTTCTTTATTTATTTTTTTCTTACAAGACAATAATAGCTACAAGTTAGATTAGTAGATGTAGAGAGTCGAAACGTGACACTCCTAATTATTTCCTTACCTTATATAGAAATTATTTTTTTTTATTTTTTCTTTTTATTTACTTACTCTCTCGGCCAATTATAACTAGCCACGTCACCTAGCACATTTGTTATGGCATTTCCATTGGGTAGCCCGATTATGAAAGCCCGCCGAAGTAGGGAAGAATTTAATCTTTTGGCCCGTCAGTAAGATTGCCCAATTCTATGTCTTCAGCCCAATTCAAAAAGGGAAAATTATATTTTGGTGACCAAAATTAAACATAATTGCTATATAGTGACCTTAAAGTCAAGAAAAGGTGAATAGTGACCAATCTTTGAAACTTAATTGATATTAAGTAACCATTTAAGGATAATTTGGTCAAAAACACTTAAAAGTTTAATAAACATTTTAAAAATAAATTTTAGATGACAAAATTGTCATCCAATATAAATAATAAGTCATTGAATTCATCCTCCTCCTACTCTCTCTCTCTCTCTCTAATCAAACGTTTTCTTTTTTTCCTTTTTAGTTTATAATTTACCAATTTAAAAAATTAAGATTTCTTTATCAACATTATCTTTTTTTCACCTTTTATCTATTTTTCAAGGCTCTCAGCCATCTAATATTTTCCTTTTTAGTTTACAATTTACCAATTTAAAAAATTAAAATTTATTTATCAACATTATCTCTTTTCCATCATTTATTTATTTTTCAAGGTTCTCCAGCATGAACGTTCATAACATTTACAGTGGCAAATCATATTTTTGAAACACCCTTTAACAGTTACTAAAATTATGAAATTAATCAACAATAGTCATTATTTCTTGAACTATAACTAAGTAGTAATAAAAATTCCTAAAAATTACAATCTTGTATCTTAAGAAAGATCTCTCAGACAAATTAACTCGTAAAGTATAATAACTATACCTTGAAAAAAATGAATTAGAAGAAAATTTACAATTTTCTCGTCATTTCTCTTAGAATCTTGAAGAAAATGATGTATAATATCCATCATCAGTTCTTTCCCATCTTGATCTTCTCTTCAGAGACTTACCCTAATAATCTGTCGTCTTTTTGTTAGTCAATTTAAGTAAGTGTTTATTTAGGGTAATGTATAGAGTAAATTTGTCTACTTACATAATAATATATTATAAGAATGCTATTTAGGTAATAAACCATCAAATGGTCATTTAATATCACTTAATATCAATTAAGTTTCAAAATTGGTCACTATTCACCTTTTCTCGACTTTAAAGTCATTTTATAGCAATTATATTTAATTTTGGTCACCAAAATATAATTTTCCCATCCAAAAATAGCCATGAAGGAGGTCCATCTGTTTGGGTTCATCAATCACGCAAATGCAAATTACAGTTATAGGATCAATTATAGGAGAAATCTTATATGGAAGACTTGTAGAAAGAAACTATCATAGATGGAAGATTCGTGGGGGCAAGCAAGGTGAGTCCAACCCTAATTCTTTCACCAAAACTTGTATAAAGAGGGACAGAAATCTTCAATAAAGGATATATACATTAAAACTTCAATCTCTTGTTTTCATTATTGTTAATTTTTTTTAAGTGTGTCGCTCTTATTCTTCGACTTTATATAGTTGACGAATTTTTGCACTTACACTTGCCTTATATAAAAATTATCCTATTTTTCTTCTTTATGAAAGATTCATATCCAATATTTTGACATATAAAAGTTCAAATTTTAATTAGAGAAATGAATGATCAGGTCAAGTATTCTCCAATGAGAACGCCGTCAATAAACTTCATTCATATCTATTTTTTTAATGTACCTTGAATAAAAAAAAAAAAAAATGATAAACATCATCAATTGGATCTTGAAAGCCGTGGCAGCTAATTGCTGCCCCTCTCTCTCTCTCTCTCTCTCTCTCTTAATTATTTATTTATTATTTATTTTTTTTTTTCCAAAAAAAATCACAAGGTTTTGTTTGGGTAGGTAAAAATAACTAGAAAAGATAAGAAAGAGACAATTTTTAAATTTTTTTAAAGTTTGGATGGATAGATAGAAAGAGAAACCTAAGGCTCTGTTTGATTAGATGAAAATAACAAGAAAGGAAATGAAATGAAAAAATAAAAAGAAAAGTGAAGTAAATGAAAAGAAAATTGATTTTCTGGTATGTATTTGGTTAGGATGAAAAATTCTTCAAGATAATTGTAGGAAAATATCATATTATAGTTTGAATACCTAAATTACCCTTACTTTATAAAATAATAAAGAATTAGTAATAAAATATATTTAAAAAATGATAAAGTCACCTTTTGAATTATTATTATTCATATATGATGAAAAGCAACTAAGAATGGATGTTAAGTTAATTAAAAATTTATCAATAATAAAGTTGTTAGTCGATTCCAATTCTTTGAAACCTAGTAAAAATTTGTTATTGTTTCCAAATATAAAATGAAGTTCTTGGGTAAAATAATATC